AGTATTTATTTTTGCTATGTATATAAATGTCATGTTCTCATATGTTGTATGTGACGGGACTACGGATGGAAATGAGCTCAAAGCTAAAATCCGGCTCATTTACACTTGTAAGCATTATTTAGTTTTAAAGTGTTCATCAATGTGCACTGTCCCGATTCAAATAAACAATTAAATGAACATGAAATGAAATAATGAAGAGCCAGCAGAGAGGAAACAGTCTGAATTCATCACAAGCAGCATTGCTAGCGATTATAGGAGCTTAAGTCTCTCTGCACTTGGCCAAGTTAACATTTTGCAACTGCCACCCCACTTCCTGTTGTGGAGGCGAAATCTCCTTTCAGATAGCGTCTCACACATTTAAAGTGCTTCTGAAACCGTGCACTAACTTGTCATGCGTTTTTGGTGTTTCTGTATGGCTTTGAAACTTGTGCACAGATCATTTATTGTATATTATATTTTAAACGATACGTTTCTAGTTATATTCTGCAAGCAAATATATTTATAAGCATGAGAAAAGCCATTGTTTTGGAACATCCTGCATTCTGACTGCACACATCACAAAGCCTCTGTGTGTTCTGTTTATCAGGGCTGGCAGGAAAAGGGAAATCAGCTGTTTCCAATGATGAGCTGTTACTCATTACCATGCATGTCCTGCACAAACAAACAGAAAGGTCTAAATACATACCTGAGTTTGGGTCAGCTTAATGCTCTGGATGTGAGGGAATACTAGCAGACTGTCCTTTCTTTGGACAGACTTTAAAGAACCCCGGTGATCTCCCACACCAAAAACCTGGAAAAAGGAAAGAGTTACGTTATTAAAAGGATCTTCAGGCCATGTGCATTATATTAAAGCTAGCTAGTGAACAAGCAACAAAGAAGTAGTGTCGTTAAGTTGGCCTGAACTTTATTTCTAGAACAGTTTGTAACATGTTAGCTGATGTTTTGCTAATCATAAATAGAGAAAAAGAAAGCAGGTTGGTAATTATGTAATATAACGTTAGGGCGTAGCATTTCCGAACAAATTATTTTAATTGTTTGTATCTTGATGGAAAAATACAGGCAAGGCAGGCAGGTTGCTGGTCTCATTGGCAACTTAAAAAAAAACAAGGAAAACATGTACATGTCTTTGAGTCACGTGAAGGGAGTGGCACTGTCAGAGGCATTGCATGAGAGCCAGAGTGCCTGCGTGTCTGGGCGTGTGTGCTTGTCATTTATAAGCTACATGTGAGAAAACACTGTGGTGCAAGTTTAATGTGAGATGGGCAAAAGTCACAACACAACAACAACAACATACACGTTTCAGGCATTTAGAGTAAATCTCAATATTATTATTTTTAGCTTTGGTTCCACTGTGGCCACATTTTGCCACAGATGTCCAGTTTTCTTAGAGCTAACAACTTAACTGCTACTTCAAAACAAGTTTAGTTTTCTGCTAACCTGAGGCTGAAGCAAAGACATTTACAGTACAATGTCCTGATAAAAGCTGTAAGAATAAACGCACCGGTTGTGTGAAAGCTTTTTTGCGTAGTGTACCAGTTTCACAGGGATGTGCTTGTAACAATATTTACTTTATGGGCCCTGAATGTGAGATTATCTACGAGCAGGACAATAGAGTTTCTGACTTGGTTTATGAACAAACAAACATGGTGGATGGCAGCATTGTTCAGAGCAGCAGACCCAAACCAGAAGTCTGGTCTGATGCCATTAAGGATCATAATGTTTTAGGAAACACAGTTTGATATGACTAAAGATTGTTTTAAAGACTCTGTCATAGACAGTTAACACATTGCGGTTACACATCCAACATTTGTGTAACGTTCACTTTACTATACATAGGCATAGCGGAGGAAAAACAAGAGTCACGATGCAGGATTTCATCATAATCCCAACAGAACACAATCCGAGTATACACAGCTGGAAGTGTATTTATGGAACTGACCTGGTATGACAGGAGCCCATGGGCCGATGTGTTTATAAATAATGTGTTTTCTACATTGCCCTCCTCAGACGGGAGGAAAATTAGTTTAAAAGATGCCTTCCCTCGGGGTGGGATCACCTAGGACAGAGAGGGAACAATTAGAAGTTATTTTAGGCATTTTTTTAAAGACACAATTATTCATACTACTTGGAGTATACTGTGTAGTGCAGCTACTCAGGCGCACAGGTAGACACTTACTCTTCTGTGAAAGAAAGGTATGTAAAAATGCCTGCTGGATGTAAACATCGACAGCAGTGTCACAGGAACTTCCTGGCTGGGGTTTTGTATATATATGGTTTCAGCTCTTGGCAGCCCCAGCGGCCTGTAGAGACACACACAAGTTTCATAAAGAACAGGCTCTTAACACAGCTTTTACCCATGGAGCCCGTGCAGGTATACACCAATCGTCTAAAGGCATCATATCGCTAATACACATTTTATTATGGGTCATTTTAATCATGAGGCATCTAAAGAGCCTCTATCAAAAATAGATCATTCTGCCGCTTATTAAACCGATCAAGACTGGAGTTGCTATGGTTGTTGTTAAAAATGCGTCAGTTCTTAGGGTTAGGTTTAGTTCACAATTTCAATTACCGGTAGTGCATTTAGGGTCAAACTATTCATTTGACATGTTCTTACATTAGGAAATCAGCATTTATGACACGAGTGTAAATTCAAGGTTTAGATAAAACACCAACAGGAATATTTCACAGTGTAATTTAAGAAGAACAAAAGCCCCTTTTATTTGTAGACGAGCACAACTTTGAAACAATCACATATCTTTAATAGAAAGGTAAGATGAAACTTGAATCCACTATGTGCCGTGAATAAGTAAAACCGCATGTTCAAATAAGGCAATAAGGAAGTGTATGAAAGCTTTTGGGTAACTTAATCGCAAAGATAATCTCTCTGGATTTAGCCACTTCTGCTGCTACGTAATATTTTGCGAAACCTAAACCAACAAATAATAGAAATCATCACATAAATCATGTTTCGAATTGAATCAAGAAACACATTTCAGTTTATAGCCTTGCTTTCTTTTTTCAAAGATTTTTTGGGCCAGATTAGCCTTTATTGGAGATGACAGTGTTGAAAGGGGGAGTCAGAGGGGATGACATGCGTACATGGTTCCAGGCCGGATTCGAACCTGGGTCCTCCGCATGGGAATTGAGTCCCTATACATAGGCCAGCTCTACCAGGTGAGCTATATGGCGGCCCTATAGCCTTGCTTTCTAACTGCTTTGTTCTCACACCAGGGGTAACATGATAACAGGCCATTTCACAGCGTAGTCATATTCATAAAGAGTTTTAATAACCGTGCTGACTGCGGCTGGATGTGAGGCCCTTTCATGTGGGTTATTTAATAAGTTTATTGGGTCTTAGAGAAAAGTTTGCATAATGCTAACTTTATGCATGGCTTAATGTTATGATAGTTGAATTTCCTCAGATATACAGAGGGTAGCAACAATAACAATTAACCTTTATAAAATATATTTAAAAATTAGCCCTCCAACAAATACTACCACTGTGAAGTTTTAGGTGTTAGTAGAGTGTGCCAGAGAGGTGCCGCTTCCTCTAACTTTACGAGGCAACGGTTTATGTTCTTGTTCTGAATTATACTGTAAAGTTGTTTGTGTTCACACTAATGATGAGCTTTTAAAGCGAATGGAATTTGTTAGTGAGGCTTTAAAAGTATTTTGCCTATTCAGCAAACAAATGATGACAAATTGAATTAAGTAACAATACATGATCCTGTTGTGTTGTGGCTCAACCAGAACATAGAAACTTCACACATTGTTATTCTTCACTTCATCTACCCTTAACTACATCATTATAAAAACATACAGAACATTGTGGAGGAAACCTTTTATGTTGATATCCAGATTATCCTGAAAGAGGCACACACCCAACTTTGAAATACTTGGATAATTAAACCCTATGAACAGAGAGAATAGCTAAACATGTGGTCTATAAATGTTTCATGGACACTGCTGTGACAACACAAATTTGGCAGCACAGCAACGGAAACAATATTTGGAATGTTTAAACAAACTACCAGAAGTACTCGATGTTCTGGTTATTCTACGGGTTACTCCTTTAGTCTGAGTAGTTTGGTAACAAAATGTTATGAAATACTTGTATGTTCTCTCCTTCGATGATTTCTGTTATTTTGAATGGTAACACAGCGGTGGCAGTAAATATTTGGTTAACATGACGTAGAATCGGAAAAATAATTACTTTTCGAAAAACGTATGTTGCATGATACTCAATATCTGTGTCTATATCCGCAATATGATATCGAGATGGTTTACTCTCACTGGAGAATTGTGACCGTGACTCTCTGGTTCTCTCTTCGGTCGATGCAGAGAGCGGGTCAACAGTTGTTGTTTGTTGTGCTTCAACAGAGGTGGACACAGTGCAACCCCAGCAGCACATGGAGTTTGGTTAAGGAGAAACCCTGATGTAATTAGTGCGGGTCAATGTTGGTCTGTATGCTCTCTATTGCTACTCTGCAGAGGAAGGAATACAGAGCCAGCATTTTACTGCGTTGTGTCATTTTGGGAATGGAATTGTGTACAAATCATACAGTTTCACTTTTTAAACAATTATGCGTGGTTAAGGTCAGGAAACTAAATAGGCATTGTAGAGTGTAATAATCTGATATGTGACTCATCAAGTCAGCTAATTTATATAAAGACAGATGTGCACATTTAAGATTTAATTTCAGTAACTTTGAACACAAGATAAAAGTCATGTATTGTGTTTTCAGTTGAGTACATCAACGTAAAAAAATATTGCATTGTTGACATTTCCATTTAAGGTGTTCTGTCAAGCCTGTGCTGAGGCCTCTTTCACTTCCTGTCTGTGAGAGTTTGACTTTCACTAAGGAAGTGAAACACATGTTGTTCCATACAATCAGCATGAGGAGATGGAGATAAAAAGTGATTTCTAACTGAATCTTTCCAGACATCTACCTGGTAAAGTGGGCTTAGTAGGCAGAACATCCAAACACATTTTTGGACACTGGTAGAAAGGAGATACCTAAAAACACCATAATGCAGTCAGCAGGAGGTATTATCTGTATATAATCAATAATCATCAGCCGGCCAGACAGCCGAACATGCACTAACCGCTGAAGTGTTTCAGGTCATCTGCAGTTCATCTGGGCAATTGAACTTTAACCTTTCACACCAGTGTTTTTTTTTTTACTTGCTTGGTTATCAGCTGAATTATTGTACATATTTTTCTTTTGTATTTATCCATGATTTCCAATGATTTGAACATCTTCAGGATTAATTATTTCATACTTCTGGTTTAACTGAACAATATAATCAACACAGATCCCACAGAAAAAAGGAAACCACGAACCGACGTGTGGGATTTTGATCTCATATTCCTGTTTTGATATCAACTGCAAATTCCCTGTAGCCTCAAAATATTTACCCAGTGATATTAAAGTCCTACATTCCAAATGTATTATACAAGAAACTGTAAAAATAGAATGGGGACTGCTGCCAACTGCAGCATTACGTCTGATATTCTGTGTTTTGGGAGTATGTAGGCAAACAGGGACGTTCCTAACCTCTGTGACGGGGGTCGACCTCTGCAGTGTGTTCCTGGATGCTGGGAAACAGAGCTTACTGCCATACTTGGATATCCTGTCTGCTCTTAAAGGTTGAAGGCCCCCTGCTTTATGAAATATTGCCTTTCCTTTCTGTTGCATTCATCTCGCTCTCTCAGGTTAAATTGAGTCAGTGACGTTTTCCACATCACTCAAGGCTGAGATGATGAAATGAAGTACACTTTGTAATTGGGCGTGTGATGAAAGGGTTTCACAATTTTCAGAACCGATTGAACAACATACATGTTAAGACATCACATTGAACAGTACTTACTGCGTCCCAAATTCCAACACTGGGGGCTGGAAATGCAAGGGCCTCCCATTCTCCCCTGAATATAGAGAGGAGCTGGAGGGAGGAGGAAAGGAAGAAGAGGACAAGTCAAAAAGACTGCACATGAATCTCATAACATTCAAAGTGTTAAGTATTAGAGGAAAATATACAGTTGTTATTATTTAACTAAACACTTTTGTACAAGAACACTGTTATGAATGTATAGTTAAAAGTATCCTCCCCTAGGCTTCCTCCCTTTTCAGGCTAACAAAAAAGACTGATCATGCCGGCACAATAGATTAGATTTGAATAAAGACTTTCTGTGACACCTTTAGCTCTAGACTAGATAATGCTTAAAAAGACATAGCTGTAATTTATTTTATTTAACTACCAAGATAACTTTGGTAAAACAATATATTAACACTGGGGACACAGGTTATAGATTTTTAACTAAATGTGTTAAATGTAATATTGTAGTGAGTGGTGTAGCACGATGACAACACACACGCCCGTTCTCATTTAAATGGCAAACCACCATGAACCGGCAACAAGCAGATCTGCCAAAAGACAGAAAAGGTTCAAAGATATAAGCCAACGTGGTAAAAGGGCAGGATACATCAACGCTCGGTAGACCCTGCACTATAAACAGCACTGTGAACACTCAGAAAACATACAGCTTGAGAAAGGGGCTTGTATTTAATAAGTTATGAGTTGAATGTATGCAACCCTCAGATGGCAGACAGTCATGTCATATAAAAGCTGTAGACCGACGTAGCCGTTACATAAACAGTCTTCAATATGTTGCTTTGCAGAGTATGTACAGAAAACCAAGAAAAAAAGCAACCAACCACAAGTCGGGTTAAAACAGGAAGCTCTCTTCTCAAGCCTCTCTCCAGCAGCTACCTTTGGAGCTCTGCTGTGTTTTTATTGGTGGCTGTGTGTGTGTGAAATCCTGTGGTAATGAACACTGAGAAGCAGGCAAAGGGCAGCTGATTTTATATGTTGTTGTGTGTGTGTGTGTGTGTGTGTGTGTGTGTGTGTGTGTGTGTGTGTGTGTGTGTGTGTGTGTGTGTGTGTGTGTGTGTGTGTGTGTGTGTGTGTGTGTGTGTGTGTGTGTGTCAGTGAGACTGGACTCAGTTGACAGAAGTCTCACACAGCTGATGACCAACTGAAGCAAGCCAGTGGAAGTTCTGCAGCTCAAGACTCTGCCTGTGTTTACATGAATAACCTGTTTATGATCTGGTTATTGGAGGATCCCGTTTATGTGTTTGCAAATGTAAACGCCATACTCCAAGATAAGCCCTTAGCCTGTTTATGAGAAATCCCAAATATGGGAGTTGGAGTACTAAGAAAGAAAAAAACACATTAAACTAAAAGTGTAAACGTTTAATTTATCAGACTTTCTGAACAATGCGTTTCGCAAACCATGTCAAGCATTCCGTAACGAAAATGCACAACAAACAGGCTTAGTCTTGCAAGATGGCAAGATTTCAAAACACATGAGCACATCAGCAATTAAGTGTTTCATAAGAAATAAAAAGCTGGCCAACTCACTTTTACACAACACATATACCTTGATAAGTCTGTGTTATACCTCGCCCTACGCTGACACACAACATACATATTGATGATGGCCTGTATGTTCGTCATCAAAAATCACATGTGCCTTTGTCTCAAACAAGTACATTAGATGAATCCTGCAGAGCACTTTACAGTTTCTAGCATATAAACAAATGCTGACACATTGTCCCGCTGCTGGGACACATCCAATAAAGCAACTGCTAATAACTGTAAGTACGTAGCTGTGGGATTTGTAAGACTCATTATCATGAATCCGGTATATTGGACTATGCAGAAACACTAGGACACCCTGTGAAGCTGCTTGAACATTGGGAGAAAACAGGGCAGTGCTTTTTGGACTTCAAAGACAACAAACATGCATGCATAACATGGAAGAATACAGTACACAAGGTTATATAATAAATAAAAAATGTTCTGAGCGGGTATTCTCCTTCTCTAATTTTCATTTACAAACTGTTAGTGCTGGTATCTATTCATTTCACTAAAAATAAACATCCCTAAACATAAAACCTTTAGTATTTATTATATAAAATACGAAATACTTCAGCCAGCCCAGGAAAACATATTTTAACAGTATGAATTGAAGATGTAGGGTATCAGATGGATCTCAGTTGACACCGTTGACAGAAAGGTCAGAGTGTTGAACAGACTTCTGTTTTGGTTCATGTGGTTAGTTATTAACAGGATAGTGTATCTAGTCTACTGCTAGGAGAAAAGATCAAAAACAAGCTTGAGAAACTGTTGAAACCAATTGGACGAATAAAGCTTAATTTATATGTAAGATTCTTTAAAATCCCAAAATTCAAACTAGGGGGGGGGGTGTAGATTTCATAAGAACAGTTCATTCTGCAGACACAAAGCTAGAAATGCCAACAAAGTAAACGTACTAACCACCTGTGCCAAAGCTCTGCTTGAGCTGGATCACTCTCTGAATAGCAGTTCACGCTCAAGTCAATTTAAAAAGAGGCAAAGAAAAGGGAGTCGCAAAAACTGAAAAGACCAGCCTGAACACTCCAAGCAACCCTTTAGCTTCCTTTAGCCAATCGAATAGGTGCTTCGGTGCAACAAGCATCAAGATAAGAAAAAAAAAGGGCTCAGTCATAAACAATTTACTTCGTGCTCAACTAAATGAGAACAATTATCTCAAATTGGAATAGAAGCTTGAAAAACACAAAGATACCAACAACCTCCAAGACGTTTCCTTTGCAGATACAAATGTTACGCTGATAGATGTCTATTGGCAGCGACGGGTTATGAACAACTGGGATGCAACTTGGTCGAATATTGGCCACAGAAAGGGAAACAAAAAGTACCCCTAACTCGAAAATACCCCATGTTGTCACTGGACACCCACCCACTACAATTCACACTGCTGCAGAATTCACAAGCTACACCTCCTGCAGGGTATCTCAGTTAATTAGGGTCAACTTCGGGTTAAGTATAATCTGATTAACACAAGTAGATCACACAAAGCACTTAAATACTGTGATTTGATTTGCCAGTTTGAAAGGGATGTAATTCCAACAAAAAATGTTTCACTGTTTTGGCCAGCAGCTAGCGGGACCTAAGCACGGAAACAGGTGAGTATTCAGTGTCTTGCTCATTTGCTGTCATAGGATCTCAGAGATAAGCCTTATTTATTAAGGGACTTTCTTTTTTTATTAAACAACATTGATTTTAAAAGGGTTGCATTAATGTTTCTGCCTTTTACTATTCACACACACACCCACTTTTGTACTGGTCATAGCCATTCATTCACCTGCCCTTAAGCCCTGAACTGTCAGACTTCCTCATGGTTTAACAACTGTGAAATTAATATTTCACTTTCTTTCCCACAGCTGCCCATGATAAGAAATTCAATTCTACAACACAGAGACCAGATCAGAGAGCTGGCAGTGTCGTTTGACTTGATATCAGGGGCACTCTATACTCATTACATGAGCTTCCCTTTCATGGTCTACCAGTTCTTATTGTTTGTTAATTCATAACTTTCCAACTATTTTAGTTGAAGGGTTGAATGTGAAGGGAAAATGAGTCTGCCTGTGCAGAGTGGTATTGTGTGAGACAGTTGATACAGATCTGGCCATGTTGTTAGCCGTCAGCAGTTCCAACATCACATTTATAGGCCAATTATCTAAATTAAAAAAGGAGATTATTACCGTGAGCAGCACTAAAAGAAAACGTACACTATACAACGCTGACTAATGCAAGTGTAAAAATACTTTTTTTCTATATCCGAAAGCTAGATAAAAAAGCAAAGTGTAAAACTGTGTGTGCTGTGTTCTCTTAAATGGTTAGGTGTCATATTTCCGTGCTTCTTTAAAAAAGGTGGAGAAGGGAATCTACCATCTCATATGTTTTAGTAACTCAGTTTTCTCTGATTTCAACAGCAGCGGGCTTCACAGAAAATCTCAGCCTCAACAAGCATGCCACTGAGCTGTAGTCCAAGGGTTCTGTCCACAGCCACAGTATAAAAATAACAAGTTATGTTCGGCGCTATTTGATCCCCTGGATCCAACTCAAATAAAGCCAGTGCTAGCAGTGAGCTCAGCCATGCTGCAGGGGAGAGGTTAGGACCAGGGGAGAGTTTAGGTCAACTGGTGTTCACAAGCAACAAGGAAACAATAAGAGTAACATGGAAATCAAAAACACATGTGCCAGGAAGATATTCCCTATAGCAACAGATTAACGGGGAAAAGACATTATTGTAGTGGAGATGTGTGAAAGTGAGAAACAGCTCAGACAGTTTGACAGACTGGACTCAGACAGAGATATCATTAACCTCTCTATCTGCAGCCCTCTTTGCTCTCTAGGCTGGGGGAGAGTGATGGCAGGCCTGACAAGCGGCTGATAACCCCGACACGAGAGGCCTCAACGCACTGGAGGTCTCCGGGTCAAACAGCACTATCGAGCCTCCTTTGCCGCTAACCTCCCTAGACTTAAAAATAGCAATATTCCCACACTGTTCAGCAACAGTCAGTTGCAGTGAACCAGATGAAGACCGAAAGCATTTGAATCTAGAGCAGCACCACAGCGGTAGGTGGCACTTTCATAAAAGAGACATACAAAATGTCACAATTGAAGAAGGAAAGATCTAAATATCCTAAGACTGGTAAACAACACATCTTTTAGATGTGCACCCCAAGTTTGAAATGCATTCTTTCTGTTAAATGTGTAGTCTCAAAGCTAAAGTAAAGATAATGTATTATTTCCTTCAGGCTTGTTATGACAGGATGTGTGTGAGGCTCATGTTGTCTTGTTGTTGCCACACCTGCTACATACTATCATGCTGGATTATGCACTATAAAAAAGGCATTGCAATAACCCAGTAATAAAAAAGGTATCATTAAAGTCCTGCAGGGCAATACAAACAACTTGCACAGACAAGTTAGCCAAACTTTGTGTATTTTTTCCAGGTAAAAACTTCTATGCAAGGAGCAAATGTAGGACAGGCTGGGCTCTTTACATTACTGTCATTGCTTCTCTCAAAACATAATCAAGAGGCAGAAGCAAGCACACTAGAGTATATAGGACTTTATAAAACTGTTCGCTCAGTATCGATAAGAAGGATAAACATGCCAATACATCAGTTTCTTGATATTGAATTGGTGTTTTTCCAGCATTTTCCAGCATTTTCCAGACCATTTTCTGGGAGAGGAAATACAGCTGGGAAGGACAGACCTACCCTGCCTTTTCTTTCAAGGAGTTCTAAAATTAATCAGGAATTTGGTTCTGTGCCTCTGTAACACACGCCCCCAAAAACTCTCTCCGTCACACACCCCCTCACTCACCAACATAAACAACACTGCCTGCATACAGGGGGAGACTTTTAAAAGCCTTTTAGGAAAACGGCAGTGCTATTAAACTGAAACCACACCTCATCATTTGTCCGTGTGAATGCAAAAACCTGTCGCCCTACAATTACAGTTTAATTCTGCGTATCAAATAAACCATTTTAAAAGAGCTTTACTTTAATTTGTAGTTTGTTGAATGTGTTCACATCTCTATACATACCAAACCATGTTTCTCTGGTGATGGAAGGTTTGTTTTTCCATTTGGTTGATCACAAACCCAACCCACGCTGTTGCCCTGCTTTCATTCTGTGTCTTACAGTATAATTCTACTCTATACTATAAACAGAAAAACACTCCAGTATGATGCAATCTGTAAGCTGTATGGTTTGAGCCGAGGTTTGTTGGTCATTATGTGGCTTGGTGGAAAGTCTCTACATATTCCCAAGTGGCATTCATGAACAGGTGGAAACCTTTCATTATCTCCATACAGCAGATTCTTTTAAAACAGCTGAGAGAAATTGTGTCTTTGTCCGACCGATGTTTGAACTAGCAAAGTGAGATGGTTTAAAGGTCTACTACACCTTGTCATCGAGAGCTGCTGTCATGAATGTGTTTAGTGTACTGCATTTCAAGAGTGTGAAAAACCATAGAAGAAAACCAGCTTACCTGTCTTCCAATGGAAAACCGTCTTTTAGTCGTTCCTTCTCCACCTGAAAGTAAAATAAAAATACACTTTAGTCAATATGGTCAAAACAGCAAACTGCAACCTATTTATTCCACATTGACACTGTGGCCTAGAAAGAACCGCATCAAGAGGCTCTGTGGGAGGCAAGATTGTGTGTATGCCAAACTGCCTTCTGGGTACTATGATTTAAATAACCAAGGGGTTTGATGCCAGTAATACAACATCAATTCCTCTGGTACATTTCTATCTACATCTGTATTTCAGTTCATGTCAAATGTTAGTTCACTGTAAAAAAAAAAAACGGTGTTGTAGCTACATACAGGATTACTGAATGAATACAGCCTCTCTGAAGATCAGCTAATTTAACAAAAAATTGTTGTAATGATAATCAGGCTAGATAATGTTGATATGAGTGGTAATTGTATCTTCTACATATTACGACATTTCTATTAATTGTTGTGTGGTAGGATTGGAATAGTTATACTATCTGTACATCGATACTACATATGTGTAAAATGAGCGGAGGAAGGCTTTGAAAGGGACAGGAGAAAATAAAAAAATGTCTTTCCATTACTTTGTAGCACTAACAATGCTTTTGTCCAGAGTACAGAGCATCCATCCAGACACAAATTCACACAAATCATGAAGACTTGAATTATTGGGGAAATCAAGTTACGCAGAACCATGTGTACACATAAAACTATTGCCTAAACAGATTACACTGTGCATGTCAACATACTGCATGTACCAAGTTTAGGGACATTTGACCAGCAATGCACTCTGTAGTTTATTTACAACTGACTGGGCATTGGTACAACGGAGTGGCTTGGATAAAACCCAGATTTGTGTGATAAAAAGGGTGTAATCTTTTCTGCAGTTCCGTGACTAAACAAAGCCAGCCTGCAAAATGAGACTCAGTAGGCTACTGCATTAAAGCCATAAACAATGATCATAAACATAGGGTGTTCAATTCAATTTCTACTGATAAGGATTACCGGTACTAAATAACTGAATTAAAATGACAACAAAGCAGTTCTAACAGCAAAACAAACCATGTTAAATACAGTGCAGTGGGTTATGTGCACCATGCATGGCCTACAGAGATAAGCTGTGGTCTCTTCAGACGCAGAACATACAGTTTCCATAGGAACAAGCGGGCGCAACATCAGGGCTTCGTGATGATACTGATTTGTCAACCAGTAAAAATTATGGATTGTTTCTACGGAGATAGCAGCGGACCCTTCATTGTTGCCAGTTATATTAAGCCATTGCAGGTAATTCTGTATATCAAAGATAATTGTTTATGCGGTATTGGATTTGTTTTCATAAATGTGAAATGGTATCATCAGACATTCATTCACCTAATAAGACAGATCTAATTACAGTTTCTCAAGCACATTTAGTACACACGATAATTTATCCTATAATGGATAGTACGATTTAAAAAATAAACGTATTCTCGCTATAATCTGTTGTTTAACTTGGCCAAAGTTACAGGTTACAGCTTGAAAAGTCCCAACTGATGGTATGCTTGTGTTATTCTGCATCATATCCTGCAATGCCTCCAGCACCTTTAAAGCTTGGCTAGGTAATGGCTTAACTGACCAAACAGATTTTTCAGCTGATTAAGTACAACAATGACAGAACACATGTTGTTGGCAGGTGAACCATTACAGAACAAGGGGTATTCAAATGCATGCAGGGATTTAAAACATGTGATAATGTTCTGTATCCTAAACACAATAGGCAGTTGAAACCTTAAGTAATCTAACAATCACTAGGACTGGAGGGCACCTATTTATACATGCATTCAATACAAACACATGCTCCTTATATTAATCCAAAACACAAGTCACCGTTTACAAAATAGTAAGATGTATGAGGTGAAGATTGAAACAATTACAAGCTCTAGTTTTGCACACAATATCTGCTTGAGTATGATCTCTGCTTCCTACATTTTTACAACGTACTGTGGCACATGATGCTGTATTTCCTGCCTCAAGACTTCAATGTGCCTGTAGCAACATACATTACGCTACTTATCCAGCTGTCCACCAGCAGCACTGGGAAACAGATAAAAGACATCCATGTCATGCTCTATTTCACATGGCCTATGTAACTGAGACAGTCAGTCCATTCACTGCTGCCTATCTAAACATGACACCTAACAATGTCAACAACATCTGCCAATTGGTCTGCGATGTAGAGATGAATGGGAAAAAAACACTGACATACACTACCTATCCCCTTTATTAAAGCCATCCTAAATCTTTAATCCATCCAACATACTCTCTAAGACATGTCTTCAACTCTGAATCATCGCCTTTTGGGTTATCTCTCGTCTGGGCATGTCTATGGTAATTACGGCAGTGTACATATTGCACAATTTCAAATACTTTGCAAAACATACCAACAACATCAAAATATTATTTTTCTGAAAGGCTAACCTGCTTTCATTTAATTTATATAATTGTGTAATTTAACAAAAGGACCTCACATTCATCTTCAACAAAAACTTCACTAAATAGTCAACTCTTTGGTGTAAATGTATATATTTTTTCCCTTATTGTCAAAGCAACCAAATGAGCAACTCTATTGCATTCTGTTTACCAAAGACTGCGGAAATGCCACACCCCCCTCAGGTAGAACTTTTTTCTTTTTTTTCTTTTTTAAAAAGGCAATCCTGCTTTTATTTAATTATCAAATATAACAAAAGTGTGTACCATTCATCATTAACAAAACACAGACTCTACTAAATAGTCAAATCTATGGTGTGAATGCATCAGTTTTTGCTTATTTTCAACGCAACCAAATGATCAACTCCAAACGCCATCCGTTTACAAGAGACAGCAGTAAATGCCACACCCCCCTCAGGTAACATGACAGTCAGCTGGTGACCTCATGACAGGTTATCACTTATCACTCAACTCCTGCTATTTTTGTTTGTTTGCTCTAATTACATAATCATCACACCAGTCATTTGAAAATCATAAGGAAATTGTAACACAGATCCTATAAAAAAAACTCAACTAAAAGCATCATATACAGACTACAAAGGTAGGAAGTAATATCTAAGTAGTGTGAAGGAAGTAACTGCCAAGTAGAACAAAGACTGTCTCGCTGCTAACATGCTCTCACAGTGTACTAGTGACTGAACTCCACAATGGACACTATGTACAAAAGAAAATAAGGAGGAGCCACATGGCAGGTGGCCTCCCGCTCTGGGTTGATTTTATAGTTAAACAGTGGATATTAGTTCGATAACTACCAAACTTGCACAATAGTATAGCATTATAGTCGTTTAGTGTCAATTACAATTCCTCACATAACAAATGAATATGTACAACTCAACTAGCTGCAAATTGGAGCCAAACACAATAGGGGTGCACTATCCACACGTGCTCATGCATCATGCTTCATTTTTTGGGGGTGATCTGTGTTTTGCATACAGATGCTCTCAATAATCTTCCACAGCAAACACACAGCAATAATAATAAGATGAGTACCTGAAGTTGGACGAAGGGGTCTGCTTCCTCTGGTTGCCAGACCTCGACCACGCTGGTGGACAGAGCTTTGTGGGAGCAAAGAAATAAAATCATCAGTGAGGTGTAGGTTTGAAAATGGGGCAACATGTACAATGCAAACCACTGCGGATGCATTATGTTTAAACAGTACAACCGCGAACTGGCAGACGACGTGATAAAATACTGATAAATAAAAACAACTGAACAGTCGTGGATGATAACCCCACAGACAAGTGAAGAAATGACTTCGCCTCGGCAGGCTCACAAAGGCTGTTTGCTAGCTGTATCATTAGCAGAACGGTTAGCTCGGTTGCTAACGAACTTGGAAAACATCTCTGCTGCTGCTGCAGTACAGAAGGCTATTTACCCGTGTATGGTTATACAATTCAGCAATATGTAGCTTTATTGCAGAGTCACCATTACCCACTAAGTGCCCTGTTTAAGACCTGATAATAGGTGACTTCCCTGTCTGAACAAGTTATCATTTAGTTTAACCAAACAGCAACGGGAACTGGCAGCTAGCATGAACTAGCAGGCTGACAAAACATTAGCTCTGCCAGATCAAATAAAAATCATAATAAGCTTACTTAAAAAAAAAAAATTATAACATTTTATTATTACAAGATGTGTAGATAATAAAGCTTGTAATCCCTACCTAGTGTATTAGTTACTGACAAGTCAGTCTAGCTAAATTAACGATTTTACTTCTTTTTTTTTTCATTTTCTGCCACGGTCGCTTGAACGTTACACCCCCGAAGAGGAGAATAAAGGTGAGCACAAACCTTGCAGCTGAGCCCCTCCGTGCTGTACGCAGGGTAAAAGTAATTGTAGTATTCCTAATAGTATATTGATCCATGTTTTCCTGTGACAGTGGCTGCCTTGTCTGAAGTCCTGAAGCCCCGCCATGCTGCCCTCTCAGCTAGCAGCCTACTTGTGTGTTTCGCTGCGTTGGTCTTTCTTTCTCTTGCTGGAGAGCAGAAGCAGCAGCAGCAGCAGCAGCAGAGCTCCCTCCCTCTGTCCCTCCCCGCTGCTCACACACACATTGAGCAGAGAAGACACACCACTGACACCAGCAACAAGACTGTTTACGTGTCTGTTGCTGAAGGTAAAACGAAAGAAATGTGAAGAAAATGCAAAGATATACATGTGCACAAACACGGAGTGATGAAGGGTTACTAAATAGCCACAAATATGAGGTTCTTAGTATTTGTTTGTGCTACTTCATACTTCTAAAGCATGTTTCATATGCGAATAATGCACTTTTCACACTTGCAGGTGCACTTTAACACAATTAAATGAGTACATTTTGATACGTATAATGAACTTGTGTATTTGCTTCTCATGCTACTTCTTACTTCTACTCCACATTTTGGAGGGAAATGTTGCACTGTTGAAATTGTTGGTTACTTTTTACATTACAAAAGCAAGACATTATTTTATGATATGATTCAGCTCTAGAATAATAATATAACTTAGTACTTTTATTCAAGTACTGCATTTAAGCACACTTGAGATTCTTACTTTAGTATTTCCATCTCATGCTTTATACTCCTACTCCACCACATTTTGGAGGGAGATTCTTTTTTTTTTTAAAGTGAAAGTATAGCATTAGCTTCAAAATATATTCAAATTGACATTAATACAAGTACATGTTATTAAATGTATATAACGTTTTATATATATAATGTTTGAGGCTCAATATATACTTTTACTAAAGTAGGATTTTGAATGCAGTCCTTATACTTGTAGGACTTTTTCTACATTGTTGTACTGGTACTTTAATATTTATAGCATTACATTTGTATAAATCTGTATTTACCTTACAGTCAATAAAACCCATTAATTCATAGTGTTATTTAATGATGTCCTTTTACTAAGCCGATACAGCTAGGTTGACTGAAGGCATTTAGTGGGTTTGCTATTGTATTGTTGGCCTTTTGTGATGATAATTCATGTTTAACCAAAGAAGCTGCATTAAACAGTCGTCTTTAAGAGAGCGACAGTGAGGTAAAAACTATGCACAGCCCTCCAGGAGAGCTTTGACATTCAGTGTTTTGGACTCGTGAATCAGTCGGGACAGGTTGGGCAGGTACACACATGAACACACACACTCAGGTTACTCTTCTGTGGGTGTGTCAGCTCCACCTTACCATGCTGCAACAAGGCATTTACAAGAATGATTTAGCTGGATCAGTGTTGCTCACCAGTGCACTTCTAAGTTGCTAAGGGTTGCCACAATAAATACACAACATGTGAGAGCAGACATTTAAATCTGCACATTGTTAAGTTTTAGATTATCTTTAGAATTGATAACTGTACTTATGCATTAGGAAGCATTAAACATAACATAAACAGGACACTCATTAGGCTATGGTGAGATTGCAAGGATAGATATATTGGGCACATAACATTTGTGAACAAATACTAACTTCTTCTTTAATGGCTTACAGATAACTTGAATGAAGCAACATATAAATAAAAAGCAAGTCACGATCAACAGATATCAATCATCTACTGGAAAGAAAACTAAACTGATGTATAAGACAGGAAGAGCACGAAGCACATTTAAAAATATTAAGTCAACAAACGCAGACACATTGGTTTCATCAACTAGGTCACTGAGTGAACACAGAACTGACAACTACCTGTTTTGCATCTGGTTTGACAGAAGAAAGAGGGAGGAAATAAGCAGGGCAGCAGTCATTCTCGACATGTCATGACAACAGTGATCCTTTTTTGGTCATACAGAAAGTGAGTGTGCAGCTCTGGAAAATTATGTTGTGCTTTTGTGATAAACATTTGAAATCCCAATGTTTCAGGTGAAATGTATCGAAAAAATTCAAGCACAAAAATAGGAGGGTGCACATTTACTTGCACTGTGCACAATGTTTTAGAATGAATGTGACTGCCGAAAATGTCTAGTAAAACTCAAAAGGACATTTTATTTGCAGGAAGAGAAAAGAGGTCCTGGAAAAGTAAATGCACTTTAAATATTTACAGCACTTGTTAACATAACATATCCCAAACACATTCTCTGTAGTTTAAATCCCCTTCAGTCCCAGGGTGCTTTTTGTGAACAAATAGGACTGGATGTATAGCCAAAAGCTTTTTTACTTTTTTTGTCCCAGCCGAACTAAAACATAAAGAAAAATCACAATCATTTGATTCCTCAACATCTGTTTAAACCATATACATTAGATCAGACGATACACAGATGAGTTAAGGGTTGATTCCTTTTCCATCATCAACTTAGGGCTCTCAGTTTCCATGCAAACAGGTGTCCCGAAAGTCAGGGGGCTAGATTGTGTTCATCACAGAACCCCTTCACCCTGCGGGCCACTAATGGTTGTGCTGCTCTTCTCTGGTTTCACCAAAGCAACATATCAGCTGATAAAGTCCATCTGCCACAGCAAAACTACTGATATCCATCCTTCAAGCCCACACAAGGACTTTCATATAACTCTTATACACAGAAAATAAACTAGAACTGCTGAGACCGGGGAAACTGCCTTCAAACTGAGGCCTTTGTTCCCTTTTTTGTGATTATGAACCCCTGTAGAAATGCTGGCAGTCACTCCATGTAGTCAAAATCCTCTGGGATCCCAAAGGCTTTGTTCATGCGGCTGTCATCAAAGTTGAACTTCTTCTTCGTCCATGACTTAATGGCAAAAACATTGTCTGAAAACAAAAATAAAATCTTAGTACAATGAGCTGAGAATATACTGTGGGTATTGTCCACAGTATTGATGTATTACATGTGTAATATATGTAATGTAATGCGCTTTGAGCACTTGGCATTTATTTGAGAGCTTTTCCAAGAATTATTATTATTATTATTATTATTACTACTGATGCAATGGCCCTTCCAGTGTTTTACATAGTATGTTAGATAGTTTGAATTATAGTTAGATGACTGGATTGGAGAATGATGGTCGAGTCCAAGAACAAACCATCTGTAGCACTAACTCTATGCTGTTTTGATAAAGGTTGAGGTATTTTGGCTGAAATGTTGATTAATACCGTCTGAACACTTCTGAAGACAGATTGTTTTCCTGGTTATTTGGGTAATTACAGAAGAATGAATGTGTTTGAAGCTGTTAACGAGAGAAGGGGCCCTCTTTGACAGAGCAGTTTTTGTGCTGATTTGATCCCTTTAATCTTTCCAGTAGAGTTATGCATGAATCATTGCCAAACATTTCAGCTACTTCTACTTCAGGGTCATTAAAAAGCGGCAGAGTGTGGATGTGTCACCGGTTGAATGAGGAAAACAAATAGCTCCCTTTAGATTAACACCAGTTTTATCAAGATCTTAAGTCAATAAACTCCTGCTATTAGTAATGCCTTTCGCTTGAGTCCTGAAGGATCACTGTACTCAGGATGTGTGAGTGGGGAAGTGTGTCAGGGCTTGTATGCGAGTCTCTTTGTGTGGGTGTGTCTCAGTGCGACGAGACTACAGGTAAAGCTGCCCAACACCGCTTGTGAAAAGTGGTATAGCCACAGGCACTTCAATACATGAAGGGGGAGTTGTTACATAACACTGCAGGAGTCTGTTGTAATAAGCAAAAATAACGCCAGCTATATCTTTTTTAAATAAGAGGCACACAAGGACACAGCCTATTTTTCCAGCAAACATTGTAGACTTGGCTTTTCTGTTTGGATTTTGTTGAAAATGCAACAATAGAGTAAAACAATTGCTAACTACAAAGGAATAGTGCAGACCTTCTGTTTAGTTTTCTGGGTTTTCAAAGCTGCTCCACTGACTTTGGTGTGTGCATGGGTTTTAAGTGGTAATGTAGAAAGAACAGGGTTTTACAACGTTTTTTTTTCGTAATCTTGAAAGACAAAAACAGACAAAAATCTGCGATTTAAAACACAATATCCTTGGTAGCGGTAAAATCCAGCTGATTGAAAGGACTAAGGAAATTGTGCTTGTAACAGGACAGCTGTGAACTTTACAGCTTGTAGTAAAGCTTGTACTTGTTCTCAGAAAGCTTCTGTGTGAACACTTCATGAATCTGTCTAGCTCTGTCCACGCCGGATGAGGGAAGAACAAATCATGGAAGAGGCACCAATGACTCACAGTGTGTTTAAAGGACTATAATTCTATGGAAGTAAAGACGAAATGTGCCAACAAAAACCGACACCGTGATTTGAAGACCGGTTACAGGCAATATTGACCCTGAAAAGTCAAAACACCACAGGTCCCGCTGGTAACCATGATCCCCGTGGGTCAGCTGTCGCCAAGGTTACCCCTGAGGTCAATGAATGCACAAAGAGAGCATAAGTGTTGACTGCAGGGAGGTGACACAAAGTGCCCTTACAGCTAGATGCTCTAAAGAGTAATCAATGGAAATAAACCACTTTCTGTGATAACTGTATTACTGTTGAGTTAAGCGGCAATTGATGATTGGAGGGGCAGAAAATGTATTGTTTTAGGTATTCCTTAAGCAATAATTAAACATTTTTACAAGGTGCAGCTTCTCAAATGTGAGGGTTTGACGGTTATTTTGGGGTATACAAGATTAACCTGAACACATTTTGATTTTGGACTGTTGGTTCGAACCCTTTGACATTTACCAATGTTTTAAAGAGCATAGGATGAGAAGAGTAGTCAAACAAATACTCTGCTGATTTGTTTATAATCAGATCATAAATTGCATCCCTAAATATAATTTTGCATATCCATTAATCTGTTCTGAAAATTCAACCACTGGCTGCTGTAAAAACAAAATCATCACATTTTCCTAAAACCCAAGGTGATGTTATCAAGTCCAAATTACTAATGTACTAATAAGCAAGACAGTTAAACCAGCAGCTTTCAGAATCATTGCCAATGAATTGTTCTGAATAACTAATCAACTAATTGCTGCAGCTCAATTCTACTAAATGTGCTTTTATTAAAAATGTAAAATAACTCACCTGTCCACCTGGAAACAGCATCTTTTGCAACACCATTTGACTTTCCTGCAAAACAAAATGTATGATCAACATGTGCGCTATTCCTTATTTATGCAATGTGTTTTAAGAGTTAATTATAATTTATACTGGACAGAAAATACTACATGCAATCAATTAAAATGTAATGAGATATTTCATGTTATTAGATTCATGTATCTGATTTATTATTATTATTATTATTATTAATATGAAGACTTTTTTTTGTTTTTTTATTGAATATACAAATATTACCATGAATGTGGATAAATACTGTATTAACAATATGGTATTCTGTTTTTCACATTTGTTATTTTTTATTTGTTATTTTTTTATCTGTTTGAAATAAAGACTGAAAATGAAAAAATGAAAAGAATAGATGAGGGAAGCAGTGTTCATTTTGTGTTGAAATTCCTTAAGCCATATGTTTGTTTTGTGGACACTGTGCCAATGTGAAAAAAAGCAATGTGGAGTGATTGCCTCATGAGAACACCCAGCTGACATGCTGTTGACCTCAAAGTAGAAAATGTTTTCTACAACAAATTTACTCCACGTCTAGTAAACTCAATTAAACTGCCACAAAACTCTGAACACAAGACAGAAAATACTGGGAACATAAATGAAGGTTGGCACTAAACAATTCCCTTTATATAGGAACGTGTGGTCGGTGAAGTGATGGTTGGATTGCTACGGTCATACTGTATGAACAAGTTGTGGAGTACTATGAAATCAAAGTGGACAGCTGAGCCTAAACCTCCCCTGCAGCTGCAGCTAGAAAAAACCCATGGAGAAACCTGACGTAGGTCTGAGCAACGTGCTGGGATTGTGTTCAAGCTTTAAGGGAAATATTTAGTGACCAATAAAACTGAATCCTGAAACAACAGCAGGTAACATCATCGAGTGTCTAGGTTTTAAACCAACACTTTTGTGGCTGCTGTGCTATGAAGACTGCAGATTTCTCCTTGATTTGTCTTTCAAGAAAAGCAGAGGAGTGATCTGCTTCAAGGCCTTGAACAGTAGCAATGTCATTGACTGTCAGCAATGATCATGTCAGCATTAATTGAGATTGAAAGGATAAAAACAAACATTAATAGGAAGACAAATAAAAAGCAGCTGCAAGTGGGAGGGACTCAATTGCATAACTTCTGACTCATAGACCTGTGAATGGGCCTGCGTTTGGCTACATGACTAATGTTCTATTCTGCTTATCTGAACCCGATACATCACGGTAGTTTGCTACAACCTGGGAAGGACAACAAAGACGATCACAAACTATGTTTACCTTTGGTGACTAAGTAATTTAAGAACTCCAAAATCATCCATAAATCTGTGTATTGTTGTTGTTCTCCTTCAAAATGGTTGTAAATAAGCTGTTTGAAATCATATCCAACTGTAACACTGCCTCTTCATAACGTGTCATATCTGACACGCCTTTGGCTGTGTTTTCTCTCACGTGTTTTTTGCCCTTCCCATGTTTGGTGTTTTTTTTTTTTAGCCCCACCTTTTGCCACATATGCTTATTGGTATCTGTGGGTGCGGTCATCACTGTAAAACAATTTGACATGCCAAATGCAACTTGAATACAAATGTTATTTGTCAACTTGTTGCCACTTATCCTGTATGTTTTGTGGACCCGACAGTGAGCATGTATGACGTTAAAGCTTTAAATAATACATTAAATAGGATAAGACACAGCGACTACAGTCAAATACATTCAAATGTTGGACTTGCATATTTGTTTCTATCATTTTAGAAACTGCTGTCAAATCATTCAATCTTTGTCAAACATGCGCACAGCAGAGGTCATCTCAAATAAATTCAATAGCCAATAATTAGTACATAATACATATTTGGTGTTGGTTACATGTGCCGAAGGTGAAAATAAGGAATATTGTTTGTGAAATATTTTATTTATTATTCAAAATCTCAAATACCCATTCTATATATTAAAGGGGTAAGTAGTCAAAATGTATGTGTATTATTGTTCGAACAGTGGTGGAAGAAATACTGCATATTAAAATGTCACTAAAATAAAAGTACAGAAGTATTATTTGCTAAATGTACTTTGACCACGGGTTCCAACAAGACATCTACTTCAAAATAGTCTCTGAACAAATGAGTATCACTTCTGGGGGAACAGGTATGAGCCCATCCTGCAAGACGAGTCCAAGCCTCCTCAGCAGCAGACAAAACATAAAGTCACACACAGAAATAGAATCTCTCTGAGCATAACTCAAGCTGCACTGACGGGAGATGTGTGTGTGTGTGTGAGAGAGAGAGAGAGAGAGAGAGAGAGAGAGAGAGAGAGAGAGAGTGTGTGTGTGTGTGTGTGTGTGTGTGTGGTAGTTATAAAAGAAGAATATATAACAAAAAGCAAAGAACACATGATTTAAAGTAAGAGGAAGTGTGTCTTCTCGCCAACTAATGGGTTTATCTGTTGAATCTCTGTGATTTATCTGTGCACACAGTAGAGCAGAACATTTAGAGAGGTATGCACAGAGAAAGATGAGAGACTGAACTTTCACAATAGCCTCAGCTTACACAGAAGATAAATGACAGGTAATAAATAAGAAGGCCCTGGATTCTACCCTCTGGATGTAAAGATAACATGAATATCTCTGCCCCATTTCCAAACAAGTTCATACCAAAGCCTCGATTTACAGAGGGGATACATTCAAGTTGAATAATATGAAGGCCCTGAAGTCTGTATATACCCTCTGGAAACAAAAAGACAATTCATATCTCTGCCTCCTTTCCTGTGATATGTAAGACTTGCATGTATTATACTTAGCCTAAATGTTTTATCAACGGTTCAATATTTCAAAATAAAAAAATGGCAGTTTTTCCTTTTCCCACTTTTCCTGAGGTTGGGATCTATTATCCAACAGCTGTTGCAGTGATTAAGCTTGGCAATGAATGTATCACAAGCACCAGAGGCCGAGCTCCTGCAGAGTCTCCAACAACGTGATCATGAAGTCATTTCTCTGGGCAGGGAAACAAATATAAATGTTAAAGGAATGGGTTTTTTTTCTGGATTTTAGCACGTTTTGGCACCAACCTTAAAAACACATCTTTAATGTATCTACCATAAAGAATAGTTGGCAGACCACAGCTGTCGTAAAATATATCACATTGGCTTTTCTCCTTTTAAAAAGGTACTTTTATACAAATACAAGTACTGTGGTAAATGCTTACATTACTGGAACTTCATCTGAAACTTAGATACAAAACTATAACGGTATCTATGGTAGAACGTCTTCATAGATATTTTTGGTCATAAGTGAATCAAATTAATTTATTTGTAAGATTGCTACAACAGTTATTTTAACTTGAACTACATTAGCCAGGAATGATTTGCCTGCATGTCTCTTTTGTTGTCAGTAGAAGACATAATATTAATGTAATGCTGAAGTGGAAAGAAACAGCGTGTGTGCAGACTAAGTGCATGCTTGGTGAAACAAAGGGAGGTGCAGGCAAACCAAGCAGACATTTTTATGACACCACACATCTCACATCTCACATGTGTACATACGGTAACACCCCCCCTTCTCCACAGGTCAGCTGTAACAAGAACTCAAGGTGGTGTAAGATGTTTGTAATACCACTAATGGCTGTGTGCATTGTGGGGATGTATTATAGAAGAGGTGTGTCAATAAGTCAGGGCCAGTGGCCTTGTCTTCGCCATAAAAAGCTTTTAACTACAAACCCTCAGAGCTGAGAGGTCACACTGCTCATTTACTGTAGAGAGCAATTCAAACTGACATGCAAGTTTAAGAGCTGACCAGAAAGCAGAGGTCTGTGTCTCAGCAGGAAGCTGCTCACTGTTCACACTCGTCGTCTCGTATCTGCATGACACCAGTTTGTGGTTCCAGCTGACGGTTAAATACTGACATCAGAGCGTATTTCAAATGTTGAGCAAAGACCACTTGCAATCAACTTTTCACTTCCTTGTTCTCATTTGATTCAAACCGTGAGAAACTGTGACCCTGCAGACCAAATACATGTTGGTTCTCAGCAGTACGACGTGACATCCTTTAATCAGACCCTGCACAACTAAATCATGTCTTTAGTTATGTCATATTATTATTCATACAACAAATAACTGTGGTCCGTCTCTGTTCACAAACACAAGCTTTTCTTTATTTGGATACCTTGGTTAGAGCCTTCTCAACAGCCAGGAACAGCTACATGTTCAATGTAATGTGTGAGGAGAGAATGGTAACACTTCCTGCCTATGTTATTTTTAGCACTATGAGTCAAGGGTTTTTTCACTGGACTCCTTTGCAGTTCTTTTCTGGTACAGTTTTCATTAATGTGCCTACAGTAAGTCTGTGTTGAAAAATGTACAAGCTTAAACAATGTCTGCCAACTGTATCATAGTCCTATTTTTATCACTGCTATTTGTGACAATTAGTGGGAGGCTGAACTGAAATCGTCCAGCACCTAAGGCACAACTCAGGATTCATTATGGGGTGTGAAACCAGCTCCTCGAGTGGTTTGCTTCACTAACGTTGACCACCTTTGCCTCTCTTCTTATAGAGATCATAACTGAATGTAAAAAAAAAACACCATCTGCCTTCATAAGCCACCTCATGTTGGAATCAAGTCTCCATATTTGTTTAGAAAAACGTTTTTTTTTAGCATTATTTCACTAGATACAAGCTATATTGTCAGATATTTCTGGTGATTGTCAAAACCTCCACAAATATCTATAGAGATTACAGAATACATGCAGGCTTTTAAATCCAGTGGCAACAATTCATTTGACATTACATGCTCCGGAAAAATTCAACAATGAATTCCTTGTGAATGTGCTTTGTAATGAAGTGGCTGTTAAGCTACGCTGCCTATAGCATGAGTCTCTACATACACTCAATGAACAGTCAAATGGAAGCTTTGTCTGATGCAATGCAGTCCAATGCAGCAGCTATGGTTGTTGTTGATTATATTAAATATAATCCATTCTCACATAACTTCACAACTCACTATTATTATTTATTACATAATAGATTTTATTTTTATACCCCTGGAAATAATGACAGCACTTTATTCTTTATTCCTAAGTATGTATGCTGCGTGTATTTGTTGTTTTATGTTGTGATGTTTTTTATTTTGATGGCACCTTTTGAAAGGGAGAAGCATTTATTTACCTCATTGTACATGTATAATGACATTAAACGATTCTATTCTACTCAGTTCAGTTTCATAGAGACGAATAACCAGCACTCTGACATGGTCTCACACCGTTAGAGTTTCACTGAGTCACCTTATGAAGCTGGATTGTATTACGTTTTACAGGAAGATATATTTCTCTGTTCAGTGATCATAGGTGACTTGATTGAAGCGAAATGCTTTAAACAAACTCTTTGAAAATGAAAAAGAAAGCAGTCACGTTGCGTCTGTACTCACTCATCTCCTCGACGACCTCGGGGTCACATTCTCTGTACTTCTCGACCTCGGCCTGCAGCTGCGTCCGCTCCTCTCTCAGAGCCTGCAGCTCCTTCAGCAGAGAGCCTCTCTCCTTCTACACACACACACACACATCATTTGGCTTTTTATAAGTGTAACTCTAATAGATTCATTATTATTTTTAGCACATTTCATTCACAGTACATCATGATTTTGGTACATTTTATGAAAAGGTTCTTACTGTGTCTTGACGTCCTACTTTCGCTTTTTCAACCGCTTTCTGAACGGACGCTTTTCGCTGTTTTGCTTCAGAAATCTGGAAAGTTAAATAGTCTAACATCAGGCAAATTTCACACACATTTTCCACCAAGGAAAACCATGTAAACAAAACACATTTTCCTGTTTCTGGCATGAAATAATATTATTTTTCAACTTCAAAGTGTCAACAGTTGCTGAGAAAACACAATGATGTCCTGAACGATAACAAATCAACATTAGTTAGCGCATCTTTGACAAGAGAGCAGAAGATAATCTGGCTTTTGTAGCTTTTAAGCATTATGTAAACCTCCCAAAAATCTCAGTTTCCTATGATTGCTCACCAGTGCATTAGACGCTAATGGTTTATTGACGGTAGAAGCTAATTATGTTGTGCATTAGAGTGTCAAAGCATGCCCTAGTCTGAAAGAAAGGAAGCTGGGTTATTATTTGTTTGTAAATAAGACTTTTTCTAATGTACAATTTAGAGCCATCACTTCATTAGTCATGATATCATTCATACAATTTACATTGCTAGACAGATTGCGGCCCTAGATCCTTTAACTTCTGTTGTAGAAATGTGGAGGCCATCGCTCTCTGAGGAGTCGCCACCCTCTCACCATCTGCCTGCCGAGATTACGAGGAGTGATACTTCTGACACTACCAATCTCCCAGCAAAACCACCAAGTGCAACATGGGAGAATCTCAGTGCTGAGTTATTAATAGGGCTCATTCGTTGTATTTTTTGGCGGGAATTCTCTGTTTATTATCAATAAAGAAATTGAGGAAATAATATGAAACCAAAACACTATGATGAAAGCAGAGGTTGCGCTAGACCTTTTCGCTGCCCGTAATTTTGACGGGCAGGATCGTAACATTTCCGTCAAAATCCAGTGGAGAGAGCACGCTCAACTGTCAACAGGGGACTGTTCGCGCCGTGTTATGCGTGTTCACTGCACCTCGCGGGAGCGCGCGCAGCGTAAAGCAAATACTCACAGACATTTCAATGATCTGTTCGGCAAAGTTAGGTTTGGAAACGGTATAATTTCCTTTTGGGCTGGCATGCATAACACGGCATAACACCAGAGCCTCGCTGCGGGGAAACAGTGGCGCTGTTCTAAATTTGTTCTAATCCGTCAAAATGACGGACGGCTTTCAGATTTTTCCGTCATTGTTAAAAAAAATTCGTCATAGACGGAAAATATTCAGTTAACGCGACCTCTGGATGAAAGATATCCATTATAATTCATCCACTGCCTCTTCTTCCCGTCATTCTATTACTAGAAGCACTACAGTAAACTAGGGCTGCTCGATTATGGCAAAAATCATAATCTCGATTATTTGGGTCAATAATTGTAATTGCGATTATTAAATGTGATTATTCATTGACTTTGAAAACATCCATTTATTGGAGAAAAAAATGTGAACAGTATGTTTTTAACAGTTGATTACCCTGAACTTTAAGTATAATTCAACTGAAAAACCCAAAAAATATTTAAAAAATAAAAAGTAATAATAATAATAAAAAAATAATCATTTTATTTCGATTANCCCTCATAATGTTGCATAAACAGTGCGTCTCAGCTTGAAGAAATGTCCTTCCGCGTTGCCCTTTATTGTCGGATGTATTGTTCAGTCTTCTATCACCATCACTACTGACGTTCTCTCATTCTAACGCGACTTACCTACTACTACTACTATTAACTATTCACTATTACTCACTATACTACTACTATAATATTAACCTCACTACTACTACTACTATTAATATATCTACTACTACTACTACTACTTTCTACTTATCTCTTTTATTCATTAACTGTATTACTTACTTTACTACTTAGCGTCGCCACTTTATCTACCGTATTAAATATTTTACTCTACTTAACTACTACTATTTTATATACTACTTACTATACTACTACTATTACTATTTACTTACTACTTACTTTACTACTACTATTACTACTTATCTACTACTATACTACTATCACTACTACCTACATACTACTACTATCTTTTACAGGTGTCTTCAACATAAATGGCCCGGAAGCACTCACTTAGACACTACTGGGCCAACATAACGTACTTTCTCTTGTCCTCGCGTCGGTGCAACTATATAAATATTTGCTTTGACTACATTATTGTTAAGATTGTTTCGTTTATCAACGCTACAACTATAGGCGGTTTTTGAAGTCGGTTGTTCGTTGTTGGGTGTAAAGCCAATAGCAGCTGTTTGCTTGCGGAGCCCGACAGCGCGAGCAGGCTCTCTCCGTTGAGCGAGAGCGGCGCTCCTTCACTACAGACTATCCATGCGCCACCTTTGCCAATAATGTTTTTAATACCAGCGGTAAACCGCTCAGTGCGCGCCGGGCCTAATAAAACTTATCTTTAAATATAATGAAAGTCACCGGAGGAAGTTAAAGGAGAGTGACAGGGAGCATGAGAAGAAGAGGGAGAGAACGTTTCAGCCAGCTTGATCGATGGAGTTGGCTTCTAGTGGTGCAGTGACGCGTCCTAAAACCCTTTTATAATCTATCGATTAGATTTATGATTCGAAAATTATAAAAGTAGGGTAGACATGTGGAGATTATCCGGCTGAACAAAACGTGCATTTATCAAACAGGTTCGTTTTCCACAGACCTTATTTCCAGCTATTTTCCAAAACCCTGTGGAGAAATCCCATTGCTTTTTGTGGAGGGAACCAGCAGCTTACTTCCTGGTTTTATGACACGTCACTGCACCTCTCAATATGATGCCAATATAAACAAGGTCTTCTGTCGGCTCTGTACATCAATGCCGACCTATGCTGACAAGTAAGTGAAGAGTAGAAAATATAAAAGGTATTGGCTATAGGGAAATGTCCCAGCAGTTTAGGAGAATGAAGGTTCTAATCTATTACATAGCCATTACATTTCTAACTCCTAATGACAGGAAGGCAGAAAGTGCATTATACAAATAATAATACTCATAATAATAGCAGACATTCTTTAACAATGACCACAATATCATTATTTTAATAAACCAAATATGAACAATTGAGGAAAATGAGGAAGACCTGATGATTCAAATGTTGTAGTAGAAGTAGTAATGTAGTTAGTGCATAAATTACTATGGCAACAAATGTGTTAATTTTCTTCATTATAAGTCGATTTACTACCACAACTACTACTGCTGCTATTACTAGTAGTACCAATCCGTACTTTTCCAACATAAAGCGATAGCCCTCCTGGCTTGAAAAAGGCCAAAATCCAGAAGCTTGGTCCGTTTGGAAGTCTGTTTGAAATCCTTTGGATATGTTCCAAGTACACAAATGTTGACGTTCAAAAGGACCTTAATGTTAAACATCTCTGACAGACACCTAATAACATCCTTCCAGAATATTGGCAGACATATGATGAAGTTTGACAGGAGTTATACTATTGTGCATTGTTATTAAAAGGAATAAGATGGCAGCATTTAAATCTCATCTATGAAAAATAACATGTTCTTTTCGTAGCGCTTTTCCTGGTGCTCAGAAGAATAACAACATGGCTGTTTAAAATCGTTTTGACACAAGTATTACATAGTATAAAGTCATGTCTGTATGTCTGGGTGTGTTTGTGTGCAGCAACTGGACAAAAATGAACTAGGAAATGTTTTTGTTTTTGCTTTAAATTGATATTAAATCATTTTATATATTGTATATTTTCTATATACACGTGAGGCACATTTGTCTCTGTTCACAATTATGTTTAAAATCTATCAGCTGTAGCCATGTCTCCCTAATCAAAAGAGCAATCATTGAGGCACTTTAAGAATGTGTAGTGGTTCACTGTGTTAACCTATGGGTAATATAAGGTGTTATCAAGTCAGTCAAAGCGAATAATAATAATCTAAAGGTGAGTTTAGTGAAGATGTGTTTTTCTTTGTCCGATGTACTTCTCTTTGAGTTACAGGTAATCAGATTAGGTTTGAGGATTCACGTCCACAGTTTTTTGCACAAAATGCTCAGTAATGTGTTTTCTGTGTTTTAGAAGGACACTGCAGCATCCAATGACCCGTTTGCTCCCGGCGGGACGACAGTGAACGCCAGCTCAGATCCAGGTACTGAGCTGCAGCGCCCCCTTCTGGGGACAGACGCAACTGCAGCTGTTTAAAAGATAAAGTGCCAAATCAATAATTTAAAGTGTGAAATGCTCAGTGACTCTTACATGCTTGTGTGTTTCAGATCCATTTGCTGCAGTGTTTGGTAACGAGTCTTTCGGAGGGGGCTTTGCAGATTTCAGTGCGTTGACAAAGGTAATAAACATGTGTAGTAGGGCTGCTCGATTATGGCAAAAATCATAATCTCGATTATTTGGGTCAATAATTGTAATTACGATTATTAAATGTGATTATTCATTGACTTTGAAAACATCCATTTATTGGAGAAAAAAAATGTGAACAGTATGTTTTTAACAGTTGATTACACTGAACTTTAAATATAATTCAACTGAAAAACCAAAAAAATATCTTTGGTTCAAATCTACCTTATCCACTAATAGAAAACTTGTTTTGATGGAAAAATCTATCATCATCTCTTGTTATGCTATACATAACAGTCTCTGTTCTGTACAGCGCAAGATGTTCTTCATCCATTCTGTTTTGTTTGATATCATATGCAGCTTTTGAGACATAAGGTTGTTTTTTAACACCGAGCGTCTTCACCTGGTTTTCCAGATCCTCCAGTTTGTTCTTGCGAGCGTGCAGGGCCTTGCTGGGAAAGGCCCAGTAGTAGTTGGACGTACCCACTCTCTCAGAGTCCACCATGTTGTCGTCCACCAGGCTCTGCAGAACGTCCTTCACACTCATGGGAGCTTAAAGCAGCAGAGAGAGGAAAACACACCTCCTACATTACACATACACACTCACATTTTCCATCATTCCTCTGACTCTCCAGCAGCTATTTGTGGATTATTGATTTGTGCACGACTGATTCAAACAGGAGGTTTGATTGTTACACGCTGAGAAGACTTAAGGTGATGTTCGGATGTTAGGTTTAACATTGCATTTTACTGAGGATTTGAAAAATACAAGAAGGTCTAATTCTTCCTGTTGGCGAGGCGTACCACTCGAATGCTCGCACATCTTCACCCTCACATCTGCTGCCTATCGGGCCGTGTTATGCTTATCTGAGAGAACATTGCATGAGAGGATGTAACAGTAGAGGAGTTCCTTTTTGAACAGTGTCAGCGGTGAAATGTGATACTCCCACGCTTCACTGTGAAAACAGAAAGCGCCTATCTGCTGTGTTAAGGGCTGAGCTGGATGTTGAACAGGAGCACAAATAAAAACGAGATGCGAAAATGAAAGGCGCTCTGGATGGATCAAACAAGCTCTGTATGTGCCTGACTCCAGTCCTTGGTCTTGTTTCTATGACTCAGATAGCTTTTTGGCCTTTTTTCAACTTCTGCTTTTTAAGGGTTACCGGTATTTTATAACCACTATTTGTTTAAAGTAGCTGAGATTGCTTCCTTGGTCTCTTTTCTAACATGTTCCCCCCCTTCTACAGGAACATGTGCCCATAGTGCAGAACTCTTGTTGCCCCCTCCCCCATCACTTAGTAACTATATCATGCCCAAGTAAGGGGGACAAAAACATGTGCTTTTAATCACAGCAACATGATCCAGTTTCTCTGGATTAATGTTATGTCCACCCAAACATACACAACACAGCTTTGTTCCTCTGCAGCTCTTAAAAATGCAAGATCGTATTTTTCCCCCGCTTTAATCTAAGCTCAATTTTGACAATGAGGAAATGTGTTTCATTTCAAACTAAAAGCTTTCAATGGTTCTCTGCACTGTGAGATTGCTGCTGTCGATAAGGCTGGTTCTGCAGAATAAATACAGTTAAGATGGCAACAGCTAGTCCTGGTTGCCATGGCCATGTTGCAAGCATGTCACCGCAATGTTTTCATGAATGCATGAGGGTGTAGTGCCTGTTCACACTGACTTTGTTGTCTTTGGAGATAATCTGATAGAATGTTACTTATTAAAGACAAAAGTTGGTATCAATAGATCCATGCCCCATGTATGACACTTTAAGAACACTACCGATTTATATCTATTGTTCACCTGTCGAGAACGTGTTGAAACAGAAAGAAATTCTCTGCTGATCTCACAAACATTGTAGATTAAAAGTCCTTAATGTTTTTTATTTAGATCATATTTGGTATTTACTTAAAATACTCTTTTAGGCTAAAATGCATATTCAAGTAACGTGTACTGCAACAATTAACAGCTCTGTTCACTGTCAATTACCTCTTAAAAATCTGCAGACTGACTGGATGAAGAATTATGAAAATAAGAGAATAATCAGTTCCAACATGTTTATGCTTTGCCATTAGAAATCCCTCGAGTGTCTCCTGTTCAGACTCAGCTCTGAGAATCATGTTTTTCTTTTCTAAAAATATAGTAATGACTCCACAAACCTTTAAAAACCAGCAAGGGAAACACAAACACAGACAAGAGCAAACCAAAAAGCACCATACAAAGCGGTGGATCAATACTCACTTATGCCTTTTTGCTTGGGGGCGATCTTCTCAATGTCTTTCAGCTGAAACACATCTTTCTGAGAAGAGAATATATTCAAGATTTGTAATCACGGTACAGTCGAAAAAGGAACAATTTAGCATCTATCTGCAACCTTATTTAGTGCTAAAATGTTTTCAACTTTCCCTTTTCAAGCACATTAAAGCCATTGTTAGGCCAGTCCGTTTAGTTATGATATGTGTATGAAAGAGAGTAATCATTTGGTAGCAGTTTGCAAGTTGGCTTTCGTCTTCTTCACAATAAGACAGCCTATTCAATATGAGGGATAATGATTAAATACTTATTAAATTGTGTTAAATTCAATTAAAATGCATAATCATACTGTGCGGCCTGGTACGGCAGCTGCACCGCCCTCAACCGTAAGGCTTTACAGAGGGTGGTGAAAACTGCACAGCACATCACCAGGACGGAGCTGCCATCCATGGAGGACCTCTACCCCCAGCGGCTCAGGAAGAAAGCCCTCAGGATTATCAAAGACCCCCATCATCCCAGCCACAAACTGTTCAGTCTGCTGCCGTCTGGCAGGCGTTACCGCATCATCCTGACAAGAACAACCAGATTCAGTGACAGCTTCATCCCACAGGCAATAA